GGGGAGCTGGAGCTGCACCCCGGGGCTCTCCAACCACCCCAAATCACACCACCCTTAGTTCATGGATGGGCTGTGGTGTTGTGGGCAGCCAGAGATGGCCACAAGCACACTGTGGGTCTTCATGAGTGGGATGGCCGCGGCTCTGCAGCCACACATGGGACCCACGGATGTGTCCATGCACTGAAAACAGGCAGCACCAGCTCACCAGCAACCCCGAGGCTTGGGCCATGCAGCAGCTCCGAGCTCTGCCACAATGAACTGGTGACGGAGGCAGGACACGGAGGGCACCAGGCAGTGCACAGGGATGGGCACATCCTGACCCCAGCACCTCCGAGAGCACCCGTCTGCAGGGAATTAGGGTGAAAGAAATGAGTCCTCAGCAGCCGCGCCAGAGCCATCTGTGCTCGGTTGCTGGTTTCGACCCAAAATGACTCCTCTTCTTCTTCCCCTCTCCCCGGCCCCTTCTTTCAGGTCCCAAAGGGAGCACATGTGCCTCGGTCAAAGCCCAGCCTTGCCTGAGCACAGGAACTGTGAAAGGAAAGGTTGGGAGGAAAATACCACAGCAAAGCTGCTCCAGGGGAAGGCAAAGCACCCCAAAAAGGCTTTTTGGAGCCAAACATTATCCACCCTGTCTGCGTGTTACCTGCAGCTCTCCTTGCAGCAATGCTACTGGCGAAAGAGCCCTGGAAAGAAGAAGATTCTGTTGTCAGGACAAAACCGGTCTCTATCATCCCAAATAGACCGTGGCACCTCTGCAGATGGGTGCTGAAGGATGCAAAACCATGTTGGGGATGCAGTGGGAATGAGAGGGGATGCACCATGCTGGGAAGCTGCATGGGAAGCTGCACGGGGAGCTGCGGATGGATGCTGTCCCACCAGCGGCACACAGCAAAGGAAGGGTTTAACTTGGGTGGTGCTGGCGGCTGCTGCCTGTGTCCCAGAGCACAGGGATGACCCCAGGCAGGGCAGGATGGCAGCTGCCACCATGTTTGGGGGTGCTTAAGAGCCATACGCCACCCTTGGAGGCTGTAAGAGGGGGTGATGGCTCTGAGGGCATCGAGGGTCAGGCTGTTGGGGCGTGCAGGGCTCTGGTCACAGCGCAGACCAAGCGTTCCAAAGCTGCAGCCACACTGCGTGATGTGCTCAGCGAGGGGGGACAAACCACCCCCAAGTGTTTCTCACTTCCCCCTTGCTGCACGGCAGGGTGGAAACTGCAAGTGTCCCAGTGCTATTTACGGAGGCAGGTTTCCCCTGCAAAACCCCGAGAGCTGGAGCCCGGCGCTGGGGCTGTCACTCCAGGGCCACGCTCCAGCAGCACAGGCAATGCCGAGGTCATGGTCCCCTTCACTGCAGGCTCTGCTGTCTGCCCACGGCACAGCAATAGTGGGATGAAGCCGTCCATGGACTGGCTATGGGTGGTCAAAGATGTCTTTTCCCCCCAAGCCCCACTCCCAGCCATGTCTCTGCCTTCCTGCTCCCTCCTGACAGCCTCCACAGGTTTTCCCAGTGGGAGACTCAAGCCCAGCAATGATCTCATCCTTTGCATCAGACGCACGTGCAGGGCTACAACACACAGCACAGCATCAGTGCTGCAGTGCCCCTGTGGCCATGCTCTTCCTCCTCTTCTAATCCATGTCCATCGGATGGTGCCAGTGCTGGTTCCCTCCTTCCTGCAGGAGCTGGGACATGATGGGCCACATCCAGTGACCGTGGAGCTGAGCAGCTACAAAGTGCTGGGTTTCTCCGCTTTGAGCTTTGCTCCCTGTGAGCAGGTTCAGGTTCTGATGTTCCTGCCATGGACTCGTTGCATCCTCTTGGTCTCCTTGTTGCAGATCACCACGATGGGCACAAAGTAGGAGTTTCTGAACTGAGTGGAAAAACCTTGACGCTGCCCCAGTGATGTTTATAGAAAGTAACAGGTATTTGCTCCTTTGCTGATTGAGCCCATTCCTCTTGCGGGGTGAGGCGGGAGCTATAAATACACTGTGAAAACCAAGCTGTGCTATTAATGCTTCGCGCACCCCCACTGCCAACAGAGAGGATGGAGCAGCGCAGCCTCCTGCAACCCTCCTGCCTCCACGACACGGATGCACTAGAGAAAAGCATTGTTTAAAGTGCCTTGCTGAGGCCCACAAGATGCTTGGCATGTGGCATGGGCTGACCGTCCCCTGAGACAGAGAAAGGATGGGTGCACAAGGAGATGCTTGGTCCCAGCTGGAGGCAGGGTGAGCTGCAAGTAGGAGAGGGGGGCCAGCACCGAGCCATCAGTGGGATGCTACTCATGGGGCTCTGTGCCATGGCAGAGCAGAGAACTCCGTGTGGCTGCAAGTCATAGAGTCACAGAACAGTTTGGGTTGGAAAGGACCTTACGATCACCCACTTCCAATCCCTGCCACGGGCAGGGACACCTTCCACTAGAGCAGGTTGCTCCAAGCCCCTGTGTCCAACCTGGCCTTGAACACTGCCAGGGATGGGGCAGCCACAGCTTCTCTGGGCAACCCATTCCAGTGCCTCAGCACCCTCACAGTAATGAACTTCTTCCTTATATCTAACCTGAACTTCCCCTGTTTCAGTTTAAACCCATCACCCCTTGTCCTGTTGCTCCAGTCCCTGACGAAGAGCCCCCTTGCTCTGACATAGCTGCTCCTCCTCATGAAAGCAACAACCCACAGGGTCACCCACCAGCTCTCCCGACCCAGGGCAGCTCCCTCCTGCCGCAGCCAAGCAACGCAAGGGCAGAGCCCTCACCCCTGCAAGCCCCTCTGCAGTGTGGCTGCACGGCGCAGGACCCCCAGTGACACCACCCATGGGGTGCCTGGACACCCAATGCAGGCGCTGTGCGTGCAGCCCATTTGCATGGAAGGGATAAGGGGAACCCCCAGGAAATGCATGGCCCAGGCATTAACCAAATCGACCTCTAATAATAAACCTCTCGAGCGATGCAGGGGCTCGGGGCTGGAGCTCCCAGTGCCATGGCAGGAGCCGAGGGGGACTAGACACCGTCTGACGTGAGTTACCCCGTGGAGG